TCCAACCCATATCACTACCAATCAAATACTAACCCAATCAACCAACCAACCAACACAACACCACCCAACTCAAAACCAATCAAATATTAACTTAAATCATAATCTTTATCTTTATCTAATCTTATCTTTATCCTATCATCATTTAAAATCAATATCAGCTCTACATCACTCCATCCCACCCAACACAATACTAACTCCACTCCACCCCACTCAACTCAATACTAACTCCACCCCAACTCCACTCTACCAACACAATACTAACACATAACAAACCCAAACACAATCTACCCAAACACAAATCAAAACTAACCTAAACACTACCTAAAAACCACCTAAACATCACTTAAACCCAATTCAACCAAATCCAAATCCAATCCAAATCCAAACCAAACTCAAGCCAATCTTTCCCAAAAAAGAAAGATTTTTCATATCAAAAATAACTTGCTAATTATCGCAATCTATCTCATATCTTTATTTAACAACTATCTTAACATCTTTAAAACCTTCTTAAACCCCTTATTCTTCACTCCCACCAACTGAAACCTCAAAATACCCTAGTTTTACCCAAGAATATCTAATCTAGCTACCGATTGGCCACTAACCAGAAGAATCCAGGCCCTCCTTGGTTTATTTTTTCTATTTATGATTCTTTCTCAAACACCCCTGCAAAATGGCAAGAACAAAGCAGACAGCAAGGAAGTCGACCGGAGGTAAAGCACCTCGTAAGCAATTAGCAACTAAAGCAGCCCGTAAAAGTACTACTCCCGCAGTTAGTGGAAGTATTAAACGTCCCCATCGATACCGAGCCGGCACCGTAGCCTTGAAAGAAATTAGGCGCTACCAGAAGTCTACTGAGCTTCTTATTCGTAAACAACCCTTCCAGCGCATGGTTAGAGCAATCTGCCAGGAGTTTAAATCTGATTCTCGATTCCAAGGAAGTGCTTTAGCTTCTTTACAGGAAGCGACTGAAGCCTTCATTATTGGTTTGTTTGAAGATGCCAATGATTGTGCTATTCATGGCCGCCGAGTGACAGTCATGCCACGAGACATTCAACTGGCTATGAAGATTCGGGGAAGGTACCGATAACTTTCAATCAGTAAAAAGTAATCACACTTCATTTCTTATATTATATTAGTATTGTATTGTGTTATGTTATCTTATCTTATCTTATCTAAGTTGTTATCTTATCTAAGTTGTTATTGTGTTAGTATGTGTTATCTAAGTTGATATGGTTTATATTTGTATTGTGTTAGTATTGTGTTGTGTTGTGTTATCTAAGTTGTTATGGTTTAGATTTGTATTGTGTTAGTATTGTATTGTGTTAGTATTGTATTGTGTTATACTAACTTAACTTAACTTAACTCAACTTAATACTAAACTCAACTTAACTCAACTGAACTTAACTTAATGCTATGTTGTGTTTGGACCTTTAATTTACGTCATCTGGATTTAGTTGAGTATTAAGTTGAGTTAATATTAAGTTTAGTACTAAGTTAGTATTAAGTTAGTATATTATTAAGCTGATATTTATTGAGATTGATGGGTGGAGGTGGATGGGGTAGTCAAGTAGATAGTGGAATTGGCGGGGAGAAATTAGATATTAAAAAGAGATGATAGTTAATTAGAGCAGTAAATGGACTAGTTAATTAGAAACACCACCAGCGGGAAAGACCTAGTTCTGAATCTATTTCGGTGGCTAGTTGACGAGTAGTGCTGGTACGGGGTTGTGGTATCTCTTTTTTGATGGCGGAGGCTATTTCGGTAAAGGACTCGGTCACTCCTTCGCCGGTTTTGGCTGAGACTTTCTTGTAGCCCCAAATAATGAGCTTATCGGATCTTTGACTATCAATTAGACTGGCGACTTCTTCATCTTGGACGGCAAGTCCGGTAGTGGAAGTTTCGTCTAGTTTGTTGCCAAGAAGAAGAATTACAACGGGTGTACTGGTATTACAACTGATTTCATTAATCCAGCCTTTTAGATCAATAAATGTTTCACGATCGGTTAAATCAAAAACTAAAACAATACCTTGAGCATTCCGATAGTAACTAGATGTGATTGTTCGGAACCTTTCTTGGCCGGCTGTATCCCATAATTGTAATTTGACTCGTTCGCCATTGAGATCTAGAGTCTTCATTTTAAAATCAACTCCGATTGTGCTGCCGTACGTCTCTTTGTAAACACTCTCAGTATACCTGAGAAGAAGGCAAGTTTTACCAACACCACTGCTACCAACTACTAGAACTTTAAAGAGATGGGTGTAATCGTCATGAACCATGGCTAAATAAAAAGAACAGAATTACGCTATATGAAACATCGCATAAATAGAAGTGCCTGGTGTATCACATGGACGCGGACTCATTAGGAGCGACAGTAAGACGACTATTACTGAAGTATGCTGATCTGCAAAGTGTCAGTACTTGGGAGTATTCGTCCTGGGATGCTGCTTGGAATACTTTATGGGCGACGCGGCGGACTTTATTGAGTGGTTTGGTGGCGGTGGGTTTGTGTGGACTGGGGATTGGCTTTGTCTTCTTCCGGAAGAGGTTGTTCACGCAGAAGGATACTTTGTGCATCTTTATTTACATGGTTGTAACGGTCTTCTTGTTGGAAAGTGTCCAGAAGATGACTAAGATTGATGTGCAATTGGATAGTACTTACCAAGATGTGGACGTGCCTGTGCCCATTCCTTTGGTGCGATTTGGGCGTTGGACTGTGGCCCAGCGGGCTTGGTGTGCTTCTGGGACCTTATCGGCTCAGATTGAGAAACGTACGGATGATTTGCGGATGGGTGAGACGGCGGCTAATGCGTATCGGCACCTTATTCGGAATAATCTCCTGCGGAAAAGAGGAACGGGGAATGCTTTGCTGACTGATGATAATGATACTTTGGACGGAGTAGGAACGAGTCCGCCGGAGAGTGCGGTGTTACGCGTTAAAGTTAAACCGCGTCGGACTTTGCCGGAGGTACGTCAGTCGGCTGAGTACTGTATTTTCCAGGGCCCGCCTCAGAAGTGCACCCAGGACTGTTTGTACTTGGGAACAGCTGAGTTTGCTGAAGCTAAGCAAGAACTGGCCTATATTGCTGAGGCTAATCGGCAGTACCGGGAAATTCAAAAAGATATTGCTGCTGATAAGAAAGAGTACGTTCGTTTATCAGTTGATTTAATGAAGAATTATCAGGCATTTTCCAAACGATCTATCTTTATTTTGGACGAACTAGAAACAGTTGGGGTTAGTTCTGTTCAAATGGAAAAGGATATTCGCTCCTTACTAGCTAAATATGATGACTTATTCAGTCGGACATTTACTCCTTCCGAAACACAAATTGTGATTTCGCCTACTTCTCTTTGTGTTAAGATTGGTGGGGGTGCTAAGCCTTACCCTAAACCGTATACTAGTAAGCCAGTTGGACAATCTTCAATTACACAGGAGAACAAAATAGTTATTCAAGAAACTGTTAGACCTGCCTCTTCTTATTTACTTTCACCAGTAACTGCATCCTTGTCTGAAACAACTTGGAATACTTTCCATCGTTCGCCTAAACTATCTGTGTCTGACCCGGCAGTTATTGGAACTACGTTGACTACTTCGCCTGTCTTTAAACCCAAAAACCGCAACTCCTTCTTTATCTCGGCCTATACTCTGCTGGCTATCTGTGAAATTATGATGTTCATTCAAGTCTTCTTGGTTTTAGGCGTGATTATTGCGGCAGTTCTAAACCGGCGTTTACTCTATCTTTGCTTCTACTTTGCCATTTGTGCTTCCTTGGCCTTAGCTTTGCTGCTGAGTCTTTCTTCACTCTCTTTTGCCGCTTCCTTTGCCGCTCTCTGTCGCCGTGGATTGCGCTGTACTTCGCGCAGTCGAGTGACTCCCCAGCCCATGCAAGTAGCCGATCTTATTGACCTGCCACAACGCGCTCTTTCCCAAAGTATTCAAGATTCAGAAGCCTCGCTAAAATCACAAATAGATGCCCTTTTGCTCACTAATACCTCTGAGGACATTCAAAACTTATCCAGCAATCTCCAACGACTCTTCCAAGTCAAGAAAGACTTTCCCCTTCTTCTAGCCGGCAATGCCAACCGCAATCTTGTCCAGCAGAATGCTCTCTACTCCGCAGCCAACGGCATGAATCAAGCTCTTAATGGCCTTCGCCGTTTAGATAATCGGCTGCGCAGTACGCCCTGGAGTTCTGTCTTCCAGTCCTTAGCCCAAATTAGTGTTCTACTTAACTCCGACCAGCCCAACACCATTGCTCGTAAACGCAAAGCCTTGGCTACTCTAGCCGGAGCACCAGAGATACCAGATACGCGCACATGTGCTGGAAAAGAAACGGCTATTTGTGAGCTCAAAAACCGATTTGACTCTCTATTTATTGGTCTTTTCCTTTTTTCCGTTATTCTACCTCTACTGATTGCTATCTAATAGCTAATCTCTATCTAAGTCTAATAAACCCCTAAATTTTTCACCAACTCAATGTCAAACCAGCCCGTAACTAATCATTCTGACGAAGATTTATTCATTCTAGATAAGAAGAAACAAAAAGAGTATGAAGCCCGTAAAGCTGCCGAAGAAATTCGAGAAATAGAAGCTAAGTACGCCGGAGAATCCCTCACAGAGTCCTCTAGCGAGTCTTCCTACGAAGATTCACCCGAAGAGAACATGAAGATCCGCCAACTTCTTATCAGCTTAAGAAACAAAGAAGATAGTATTGCCATCAGTAACTCAAATGCTAACTTAGATAACAACATAGATACCAATTTAGATACCAACTCAAATACTAATACCAACTCAGATACTAATACCAATACTAATACCAACTCGAATAACAACTCGTATCGCTTGAAGGACTTCTATCGTGAGCAGACACTAGCACAAATGAAGGCTGAGAAGACTGAAAAGAAGTTGGCTTACTCGCCGGACCAAGCGGATTCTTTGGCGGCTTTTATGACAGCGGCTGAGTCGGTTGAGGGAGTTGAGTTTTCGGCTGCCCCAACTCCAGCGCCGGGCTTAACTTTCACTCCGGATATGGATCCTAATGAGTTCTTAGATGCGTATGTTCTGGGTGGTGGCTGGAAAGCTCCCACCAACCAAACGGATGAAGCTTTCTTAGAAGAGGATTCAGAAGAGATGGAAATGGCCGACTTGTTTGATGCTTCTGCTCCTTCGCTTATTACTACTACTAAAGCACCTGTGCAGCAGCGTAAGCGCAAAGAACTCCGAGCTAAAATGCGTCGAAGAGATAAGGAAAAGGAAAAGGCTGAAGATCTTAAACGGCTTAAGAATCTCAAGAAAACTCAATACTCAGAACGACTTCAACTCTTACAACGTGTATCTGGCCTTAGTAAGCGGCAAATTAAGAAGCTTACTTTGAATGCTGATTATAACGAAGAGACCTTTACTGAAACTCTAAACAACTTGTTTGGCGAAGAGTACTTCCAAGAACCCGAGCCAGAAAGACCCAAAGTATCTGGGACTCTTCCCGAGGCGGCAGAATTAAGAGAAGATGAAGAGGCTGTAGCCAGTGGGACTTTGCCCGGAGATCGAACTAGAGCCAGACAAATCCAAGGCATTCTTCGTGAGCTCAAAACTATTGGTACAGACTATGCTAAACTGCAAGTTTCAGGTGACTTTGCCTATACGCAAGTACCGGGACCAGATATGCCACTTTCTATCAAAGAAATTCTAGCTAGTGATGATGCAGAGCTCCGCAAAAGATTCCCTTTAAAGAAACTAGCGCCCTATCGCCGTGATAGACACTCCCGCCAAAACTCTAACAATAGATAAATACAGTAAAGATATCTTTATTAACTCTTTTTGATCGAGATAGTAGTTGGTCTTTGTATACTAGCTTATCTCATTTCATTTCACATTATCTCATCTCACATTGTCTTATCTCACATTATCTTATCTCATCTCACATTGTCTTATCTCATCTCGCATTATCTTATCTCAACTACTAACTCATCTACCAGTACATCGACCAAGACATCTACTCTAAGTAACCACCATATCTACCAGTACATCTACCAGTACATCTACCACCACAATACCAGTTCGATTTGCTGCGGGTAGAAACAAGGAGATGGATGGGGTAGTTGAAATCGAGATGATGTTTATTACTTGGTTGGTTGAGGGGCAAGACTATTGATTATTTCACTATCATAAGCCTATGCCAGAATCACAATTAGATGGTTCGATTCTCTTTCATCTATTGGTGCGTCCACAGATAAAGGGGACTGAAACACGGCCAGGATGACAGATAGCAACACGCTACAGGAGAGCAGAATACCTCCGGTAGTCTTAGTTATTGACAGCCCAATAGCAACTCCGGACTTTCGTGCTTACCGCCTTCGTCGCCTCATTGACGGCATTACGCGAACTTCCTTTGTCTGGGTTCTTTCTTTGGTTTCGGTGGGCTTTAAGTTGCTTCAAGTGACTGTCAACACCACGGCCTTGTGTTTGTCGTCGAAAGACACTTCGCAAAGCCCTTTTCGCCTGTTTATCTTTGTTTATACACTGTTTGTTGCGGCTCATGGTCTGTCCTTTGTCTATCGACATTGGGGATACTTGGTGAAAAATGAACCGCTGGAATTCTCACAGGGCGCAGAATCAACCCTGTTTAACAACCTACTGGATATCTTTACTCTCTTTCTTTACTTCATCGGGTTTAAGTGGCTACAAGAGTATCAGAGTGAAAAAGACAAAACGCCTTTGCTCTACTACCTAACGAAGGTTTGGGTTTTTTATGGTATTGTTGTGCTTTTGGCGCCTATCTTTTCGGTTGTTTTGATTTTGATTCTTTTAAACTACATTAAACCTAGTCTGCCTGTCTTAGAATACACGCCTGGTGGTAAGATAAGTGAAGAGGATGCACAGTGCACGATTTGCTTGACGCCATACGCTAATAAGGAGAAGATTCGCCGGCTTCCGTGCAAGCACCATTTCCATATGGCCTGTATTGATGAATGGTTTGGCATCGATGATTTGTGCCCTCTCTGCAAACGACCAGTCAATCCGCTTTATGACATTGTTGGCTCAAGCATCTAGCCGCCGACTTTAATCTAGCACCAGGCATATTGGTGCTATCTTGGTAGTTGGTAATTGCTAGGTTGGCGGGCCAGATACGGATGGCTATACATTCTTCGTTTTCAGAATTTGCCATGCAGATGTCCGTGATAGCTGCTTTGGCCACTGCCTATTTAAACGAGCGTGGTACCCGGCGCTTACTCAAGTATAATGAAGACTTAGTTGAGCGGGTTGTGGTTCTTTTAGAGCGGGTTCGTGAGTCGGCTACAACCAACCGAGTTCAGGCCGGCATATGTCGTATGTCCGCCGAGAGAGCTGAATGGCTGCTGACTGAGTGGCTGCTGCTCCGATTGGAAAAGATAAGATCTGGCGCTGAGGTTGAATCTATGTCTCCGAGTGAGCAGATTTACGCCGCGAAGTATGCCGAACTGTGTCCAGGAGCGGCAGAAAAGCGAGAAAGAGAGTTTGCTGGTGTTTATGTGCTAGAAGATCGACCGGGCGCAAGTATTGGGGGAGAAGTAATGTCAGTAAGTGCAGGTGATTTTCTAGTGACTGAAACGGCCAGTATTCAAGAATTGATAGACGAAATGGCTGTAATTCTAGTATAGCAATAAATTGAATTAACGCTATGGATCAGATTAGTACATTATAACAACAATATAAACCTCATATTTATTGGCTTTCTCTAATTAGCGGTGTATGTTAGGCTGGTGCTGGATTGGATGCTTTTCTGACTATGTTCTTGGCACGTTTGACTAATTTCTTCTGGATGGCTTCGTCCGCTGCCGTTCCCTTGGCTTCTTGCTTCCGCCTCGCTTTGATCGCTTTGACTTGTTCTCTATGCTCTTTGCCAACCCTTTCGTCGTCAATGATGCGCGTAATCTTAGCCCCCTTTCCCAAGGCTAGAATAGCCTCGAGATTGAGTTCTTGGTAGGGGTACGTCTCGCCTAACGTTTTGGTGAACCTGGGAACCTTTTCTCCTCGAAGGCCAACAAGTAGTTTGTTTAATTCCTCAGTCTCTAGCGATAGTAACTCTTTTGCCCGTTCTTCAATCCAGGTTGTGGCCCGTTGCGCTAAGAGACGAGCATGTCTGCTCTTAATGGGTCTTTGGTATAGGCGATATCTTAGAAAGCGTCGGTAGAGCTTAGAACAATATAAGGACGACGTTTCACGTGGCACGTCATCAGAACTGATCTCCCGGAAACCAACAAAGAAGCTCATGATTTTACGCCCATTACTACTGGTATATGTCTCGTCCCATTGTTTAGCCTCCAGCCAGCGGCACATCAAGTCATATCCTATTGGAGTTATATCGCTCTTTCTAGAAAAATCAGTTAGAGCATTGTAGCAATGTATGAGTATATCAGCCGGTGTTATTGCCCGCGCAGTCAGCTCCAACCGATTGAAATAAGGGACAGTTAGCTTTTCTAACTCGTTTCTACAATGCTCTAAGCCGTCCCGTAGGCGGGATTTAACTGTATCGTTGATATGCTTCATGCCGGCCTGAAATTTAGAAGAGGTTTGGGCTATTGCCAAAAGTGTACTTATTGTCTTGGTATACACAAAGAGAGTATTCCTTGTTGTGTTAGTAGCAAAAGTACCTACAGCTACGCTGATGTAAGGTAGCACTGTTTTAAGTAGCCCGGCCGCACCGATAAGATCACAGAATAATGTAATATGATCGACGTTTACATCCGTAAGCGGCTCACACGTCGCCAGTATTTTGGTAGTACACGGCACCGTGCCATACTCAGCGGCTAATTTAGGCGCCTCTGTTGGATCTACTGGTTTCGTGTACCCAAGCTTAGTTTGCATAACCAGGGCAAAGATATGAATGGCTTCCATGTAATCGTGTTCTATCTGAAGGTGCAGGCAGACCAGCTTCAGGAAGATAAGTCGTGTTTTCGGTGAATTTATCGCTATTAGCTTTTTAACCACAACTGGATCAACTTCCGGCTCTAATGGTGCACCATCATTCGAAATTGGCAATCTAGGCCCAAAGGAACTAAACGGGGGCATTGTTCTCCCTAGATTGGCAATGAGCATTCTGAGCCGCGTGTAGTTCTTTTCGATTTCTTTTCGATAATATATGTACTTATCTACACCATACAGGGGATAATTCAATATCTCCGAGTTGATGATTTTCTTTTCTAATGTCATAAGATCGGCCACTATTTTTCCACATCTGATCGGGAAGTTGTCAACCAAGCCAATACATCTGGATTCCCAAACAACAATCCGGTCATTTACAATAAAGTCGGCCTTTTCTTTACGAAAGTACTTGTTGATAGAACGTATTGTTGTTGTAGCTGGGGAAATAAGACACTTACCCGCATCGCGCAAACTAGAGGCACATGAGACATCAGCAGGCCCTTTATTACAACCGGCGTAATATGTATCTTCAGAACCACAATCACTCAGAGGTTCATCATCATACACACTATGCGGCAAGGCATCTTCTATCTTGAAACTGAAATCCAAATCAGCACCTTTGGTTTTCGGCGCCGTAGCATATCCAAAGCCCAAAAAGCCCACTAGCAAAAGGCCTAACCCAATATGGTAATCAGTATATTTGATGATCATTAAGACAGGTATATAAAGACAAAAGAATTTAAATAAAGGCGACCATAAATTACCCAAAAAGGAAATTACCAAAAAAGGAAAGTTTTTTGGTAACTCAATCAAGTTTAGTTTAGTTATGTTTTGTTATGTTATGTTAGTATACTAACCTGTCGTGCCCCGGGGAAGGGATAGTACCTTTCAACCAAACATATTCGACTAAAGACCGATTCTGAAGAGGACGATGGGAGAATTTATTCAACTCTGCTTCTTCGGGAGTCTCAGATATGTTACTATAGCTTAGGTTCTCTTTATCGTACGTCATCTTGAGATCTAGAATTCGCTCTCTCACAAACTCAGATTATGTTTATATCCTGAGATTGTGATTTCTAATTCAAGATTTAATCGCGTTCGCTGCGATCAGTGCCAAGCCGATAAGTATTCCAGAACTTTGCCCCTGTAGATAACTCACTTTGAAGTGGAGGCCGGCGAGGACACCACATAACCCAATTCGAAGTCTGTCTTAACCAATACATACTCCATTAAAGACACTCCTTGAGATAAGTGCTCATGCCAGTTATTGAGTAAATAAGGGTGAGTGAGTATGACGTCATATTAAGTTAGGGTAGATATGCAAAATTGCTTTGGTTAATTTATCCTACACTAAGTAGTGAGTAGTTTGCCCGCAATTACGTATTAGTATTGTATTGGTGTTATCGTAATATGATAGCATTACAGTTGGTCTTACTGATTAGAAGAGATAGTCAAGACAATCGAAGCCATGAATAAAAGAAACAAGTTGGTTGATATGTCTTTATTAATGAATGCTAACCCAATACTAGCCCAGACAAGTAAATGACTAAGACCTACCACAGCAATCTACTCCTCCTCAAAAGAGTACTCCACCGGATTGACGGCATCCGTGCTCTCATCCTCCCAGTGAATACGCCGCTCCTTAAGCTTCTGCCATATCTCTTCGTTCGTCTCATCAGGAGTCTCAGAAGCCAACGAGGGCATAGCCCGAAGATTCTGTACAGAGGGCCGCCCCGGCATATGCCTAATGTTCTCAGCTATCTGCTCGTGTATCTTTTCTATGTACTGCGCCGTGTTCTGGTTTTCCATATTCATCGGCACTACTTCCAACGTATAGTTAGGATGGTAGTGATCAAAGTACTCCGTATACGGCAACTCACGCGGTACCTCAACCTCAGCCAGTAAGGCCGTCTCATAAGCCCATACCCGTGATACATTCGCAATCGTATACCCTCCTCCACCCAGTACCATCACCGGTACTCCTAAACCCTTAACAAACTCAACACAAGAAGCATGCCCACGATGGGACAAGTTAAAACAACCAATCCGATCCCCAGCTAAGGAATCAGCTCCACATTGCAAAACAATTACATTCGGCCTAAACTTCTCCACCGCCGATCCAACTACCGGCTTAAAGATAGCCAAGTAAGTCCGATCATCAATCCCAGAATTCAAAGGTACATTAATACTGTACCCTCGACCCTTCTCCACCCCCGTATCAGTCACTGCTCCAGTTCCAGGGAAGAACTCACCATGCATATGCAAAGAAATAGTCATAACTCGATCGGTACAATAAAAAGCCTCTTCCACTCCATCGCCATGATGTACATCAATATCAATGTACATTACTCTTTCATTATATCGCAACAACTCTAGAATACCCAAAACAATATCATTAACATAACAGAACCCAGAAGCTTCCCGACGTTTAGCATGATGTAATCCGCCAGCCCAGTTAATGGCTACATCACACTCACCTTCATTAATATGCACTGCCCCTTGAATAGATCCACCAGCCACTGTTTGGCAGTACTCATAAACACCTTCAAAAACAGGACAATCTTCAATCATATTATACTTTGAAACTTCTTTCTCACGAGTTTCAGCGTTCTCTTTAGTGATACCACGTAAGAACTCGATGTAATCATCAGAATGAAATCTGGTTAAATCTTCAAAACTAGCCGGAATTGGTGCATACAAGTTCATGCGTTTAAAAACTGAATAGTTAACCAGTAAGGAATGAGTCAATCTAATTCTATGCGGCTTCATTGGATGTCCAGAAGCGTACTTATAATTGCCTATCTCTTGGTCGTAAAAGTAGGAAATCTTACGCATGGTCTCAAAAAGAAAAAGACGAAAATATAGCATAGATTAGGGTTAGTATTGGGTTAAGATGGGGATAGATTAGGCTGGAGAGGAGATTAAAACGTGTGTTTAATCTTGGGAGGTTTTGGTGGTTAATTGCTAGTGTTCAGATTGGGTTTAGTATTGGTTTTTTGTGAAATTTTGGTCTGGAGATGTAAGATACCCCTGTGTATAATATTGAGTTGTGTTGGAGTGGGTTGAGTTAGTATTTGGGTGGAGTGGGGTGGAGTGGAGTGGTGTTGTGTAAGTATTGGGTTGGGTTGGGTGATGTTAGAGTATAGTGGAGTTGTAAGTAGTTGTAAGATCTGGTCTTAATTAGGCAGAAGATTAGAGGTGTATTTAGATTGGCCGGTTAAAAGAATAGATTTGTATTAAGTTAAGTTAATTTGAGTTAAGTTGAGTTGAGTTAATATGAGTATTGTATTAAGTTAATCTGAAATAAGTTGAGTTAAGTTAAGTTGATTTGAGTATTCTATTAAGATAATTGTAGATAGTTGCAGTGGTAAATAAACATGTTCTAGTTCAAATTGGATTAAGTTAGATTGGATTAAGTTAGATTGAGTTGTGTTGGTTTAAGTTGACATTAGATTAGATTAGATTAGGTCTACAGTACTAATACAACTACTAATACAGTACCAATACAATACTAATACAGTACTAATACAGTACTAATTAAGTAGCCAATTGGTCCTTAAGATGGTTGGGGTAGTAAAAGATACCAATTAAGATACTAACTTAATACAACTTAATACAACGTAATATGATTCTAAAGAGATATAAAGTACGAATATTTATTGACTTTGGGTAGATCTATTGGATTGGGCTAGTAGTGAGTTATGTTTAGATGAAAAGTAAACACTAAGTTAGATTGAGTTAGATTGGGTTTAGGATTGGATTAGATTAGATTGAGTTTAGGAGGAATGAGTGATGGTAGATGGAAGGATTTTAGGGTTCTCTTTCTCTAATCTAAGCCGATTCTCTTGTTTGTAATCAAAGGGACAATTGTGCTCATCGGAATAACGATGTTTAAAGCAAAATTGTCCGGAACATCGGCAACCAAAAGTATTAGTAATACGTAATCGAAGATAACAAACGGAGCAACAAACTTGGGAGGGAGAATTAAGAACTCTAGCTTGTTTTTTAGTCTCATTTTCGCTAATTAATGGCCTCTTTCGCTTGGATGCGTCGGACATGAATAAAAAAAGGCATGTTTACCAATTTATGCAGAGTCGTGTGAGATATTGGGAACTAGAAGTAGTGATTTTGTTGATAAAGATGCTCTTTACGGGTATTGTTGTCTACTTGTTCTTTGCTTTTAATACTTTGTATGCGATTGAGTTAGTTTATGATTTATCTGTGCCGGTGATTGTCTTATTTTTGATATACCAGGCAATGGTATTATTAGTTGGCTTCTGTTTCTTTAGGGTGGCTATAGCTAAGAACTGTAGTACAATGGAGTTGTTTCCGGAGGTAGAAGATAGAGAAGATCTTTCTTCTTATGAGAGTTTGCATTTGAATCCGTTTGAGAAGGATAATATGCAGATTAAGCAGAAGAGTATGGAAGTTTGTGGCGTTTGTCGGATTTCTCGGCCGGTACGGAGTTTTCATTGTTTGAATTGTGATCGGTGCTTTTTGTTGATGTATAAGCATTTGGCTTTGTTTGATATCTGTATTGGGTTTACGAACTATAAGTTTTATGTGGTCTTTCTGTTCTATAGTATTTGGTTGTGTGCCTTAGGGGCGGGATGTTTTATTCATGGTGTTATTCATTCGTTGACTTCGCCTAATTCTCGGATAGTTTTTGTCCCAATGGTAGTGGCTGTGGCTTTGCAAGTGGTAGTACTACTGGGGGCATTGTGGGAGTTATATCAGGCAGTTGTTTGTATCTTGCAAAATGAGACCTTAGAGGAACGGCGACAGAGGAAAGATACAAAGATATCTTATAATATTGGTAAACTAGCTAACTGGCAGATGATTATGGGGAAGAAGTGGTACCATTGGTTCTTGCCCATTTGGTCGACTTCTGGGAATGGCTTGGAGTTTCCGTATATTCAGAAAGACTATATTGAAATTGAAGGTCCTGATTCTGGCAGTGAAGTCGGTTTAGTTGCCGAATAAGGCTTACGGGTTAGTATTGCTGCCAGCACTAATCAGTCTATTGCCAATCTAAATAGTCCTTTCTACCCACCAGTACTAACACATAACCCAATACTAACACATAACACATAACACTACACATAACACTACACATAACACATAACCCAATATATTCATTGATTTAATTGTTGTTTTATATCTATCTGGATCCTATCACAATTTAATAGATAGTTGAGGATATCATGATAGTGATTATTTGCGATGGAGGAGAAGGTCGTTGATTTTGTCTTTACGACGTTGAGTAGTGTTGATAAGATCTAACTCGCCTTGCTGTAATGAAGACTGGAAGGGAGAGACGTGATCAGGGATTTCTGTTCCCGGTCGGTATGCAGCAATGTCTTGAGGTGCCTGGCGGTTGATACTATCATAGATAATTTGTGGATGAGCGTATGGAATGGATGCCTGGAAATCAGCTGGAGGTACCGTGCAAAGATACATGGAACAATTACTCGGGTCTTCTGTTATAGTACCACCCGTAGCCACTACCAGAAATACTAATGAAAGGGCAATTGCCTGGCAACTCTCACCCAGATAGAAAGACATGTCTTTAAAGATTCCAGTGGCTATGTGCAAGGCCTGGTATTCTGGTACTTCCTTGACCCGATTAATTAGACCCAAGATATCAGCGGCCTTGAAATGTCCCGAACTAGGAGCAGCTCTAAACTCGCGTAAACAAGGAAGAAGAGCTGGTGATAACTGGTTGAAAAGCCGGAAGTTTACCTTTTCTAGTAAATAGGCATTGTACTCCATGTGGTAGTAGAGGATTTTAGTATCAATTCCTAAAGCATCCTCTTCATCAACCAGAGGGAAGGCTTCTTTCCAGAAGACTTCGTACTCTTGAATGTAGATAGAATAAAAAGCACCAGATGGAGTTAGGAATGTTTTGAAATTGGGCCGTAATAGATAAATATAGAGATAGAAAAGAGTCAGTTCTTTCTGTGTCTTAGCCAGAATGTTCTGTTCTAATTTCAAGTTAGGCAGTCGTGTATGTACTAGAACACGCTCACTAACAATTAAACTAGTTAATGTTTCTCCCAAATCTTCATAGATATCATCAAAAGAAGGATACTTCTCTAAAAGAATACGACCGTAGTCCATGCGATCATCGGCCAACTCTTTAATACGATGGGAACGGCCAGAAGATTTATAAACCTCTCTCTTACGTTCATTTTCGATTTTCAGATGGGCTTTCTTGTACGGTTCTGATTCACGTATGCGATGGATATCTGTTAATCGGTATTGAATACGTGTACTACGATTGGTCAGTTTATCTTTAGACGGCACAAAAGGATGAGTATTAGTAAGAATGCAAAGACGGTCAAACTCTTCAGAAGTAGTATTTAAGCAGATTAAAGCTTCATCTCTAGTCACATGACTTCGTTTAACTATTATATTAGTATATGGACGACTCATTGTCAAATAAAATTTGTGTCTAATCCTTATCTATAATGATTACTAGTTGGGTTTGAATTGGATTTAATATTTATCTTAAGTTAAGTTAAGATTGAGTTGGGGTGTAGTGGGTTGTGGTTTGGGTGGAGAGATTAGGTTGATGTGGGTTAGGAAGGGGATGGGTGGAGGAGAAGAAGAAGAAGATAGGGAAGAGAAAGATAAATAGAGTAAATTACTAAATAAGGAAATAAATGATAGAAATAACTGGAAGAGTCGGAAAAGAGTTTAAAGAAGTTATAATGAATGTATTAAGGTAAAACTGCTTATCTAAACTGATAGAAAAGGTCTATTTAAGATAAGTCGGAAAAATTTGCATGCTATACTTCAAGAGATTAGACATAAATGAACTAGATGCATTGCCATTTGAAGAAAAAGAAAGATCTTGTCGTAATATTGTTGCCCAACTTGATCAGAAACTATCTAATATTCCACAAGATCGGGAAATGCTTAAAAAACTCGAATACTTTCTGCCATACTTAGATAAAGATGGCTTATGTTTATTGATAGATCAGTTGGTCTTTAAAGATGTTTTCTGTGGACCCACAGCCTTCTTTATTGAGAAGATGCTTAAACAGTGTAAACTTCTAGCCGACTCTTTTGATCCAACTGCCACTGAACAAGTTACTCAGTTTATCAGCCGCATTCAAAGTGAAATCCTCCAGAACCCCAAGAAAGCCTTCAAAAGCAAAGGAGTTAATCATATTATTAGAGAGTTACTAAACAGTACTCGAGATAAGACTAAACTACTAGCTGCTATTGCCAAGGTACCTTTAGAGTACTTTTTAGACGATCCCACTAGACTAAGTACTTACAAGGTCTACTTAGACGTTCTAGAAGGTGAACCACAAACTCAACTATGTACTAAGCTAATTGATTATCTAGAAATTGAGATGTTAACTTCTTATCAGTCATTTATCTATCAAAAAGTATGTTCTGTTTGTAATACGAGTGATAAACAACGTTTATTTAAGAAAGTCTCTCCTCACTTGCCAGAACTAGCTAAAGATAAAGTAGCCAACTACTTTGTGCAAAGTCTGATCATGAACTATCCAGCAGCTGAAACATTTACTCTTCTAGTTGACTCACTAGGTTCTTTACCCAGTAACAGTAATGTTCTCTTCTCTTTAGGCCTAAAAGCCTGCCAGGACAAACACTTAGTGGCAGTTGAGTACTTAGTTGAGAATATTTGGCTCAAAGATATGCTTATCAAACGGTTACTTTTCAATGAAAAAGGAGGTTTTGATTCCAAAACACACCAACTAGCTATTGCTCTTCTATCTCTAACCAGCAAGTACTTAGCTGACTTCCAACTTGAAGTTATTTCTCTGTATGAAAAGTACTGGTTATTTGATAAGATTGGACAAAAAGTACTGATTGCTCTGTTCTCTAAACCTATTGATCCAGCTATCAAAAGTCTCTTGATTGGAACAATGGCCAAAGAATTCCTTGGTATTATGCGCACTAAAGGTGGCCCTCAACTACTCACAGCTATTGAGAAGGTTTCAGACTTCAGTACCCGCAAGAGAATAAGACTAGCTATCAAAAATGCGCCCTATCAAAAGAGAACATTGATAAAGAACAGCTTAGACGGTTAAATTTTTTCGATGGTCTTCCTTTCGTCCTTTGATATGGGCCAATGTTTCACCAAGAAATGTTCGGCTGAGAAACTCATTTTAGCCGGAAATGTCAAAAGATTAAGACCAACTCGTAAGTATAGTGGAGTTGTTCTATCTCCTAAAGGCGAGCGAACTCTATCTCCAAAGGATGCTGAAGCTATTACTAAGTACGGTTTAGCTGTAGTTGATTGTTCGTGGAATAAAGTTGAAGAAGTAGATTTCAGTCATCTGCCTAATCGTCGTAATCGGCTTCTGCCTTACTTAGTGGCTGCTAATACGATTAATTACGGCCGGCCTTGCCAGCTTAATTGTGCTGAAGCTCTGGCAGCAGCTCTTTATATCTGTGGTAGTCCGGATCAGGCCAAAAGTATCCTGGAACCCTTTGCGTATGGCCAAGAGTTCTTGCGACTCAATCAAGACCTACTAGATGCGTATGCCCAGTGTACTACCCCAGAAGAAGTCATTAATATGCAGAACAAACACCTTGCCAGCCTATCCCGATCTAAATAAACTCAACTCAACCCAATCTTATCTCAACTCAACTCAATCTTATCTCAACTTAACCCAATCTCAACTCAATCTTATCTCAACTCAATAAAGAAGCTTATTTATTTGAACTATCTTGAAATGGCCGAATATACTCTGTGATGACATAATTATTCCTAAAGGCCATTCCCGGTTTCTAAAAGGTAGGAAGAAACTTGCCTAATAAGGAATTGCCTAATAAGGAATTACCCAATAAGGAATTGCCTAATAAGGAACTTTCCCTGTCTATAAATAGACTTGAAAATGAATAAATACGAGATACAAGAGTTTGAAAGATGGACCGAAGAAAACAACTATAATATTCCTAAAAAGGAAATTTCTCTAAAGGGAAATTGCCCAATCTGGATATTTACCTTATTAGGTAAACTTCTAAGCCATAAATAACTTATGAATAAATAAGTAAGATAGTTGCCGAGATAAAACTGAATAATAAAGATCTAAATCAAATGGAACTAGTACAACTAAAGACTTTAACAATAAAGAGTGATCATATTATAGATCGACTGATTCTTGTTTATAAACTGACTAATTCGTGATATAGATTGACTAATTCTTGTTCTAAACTGATTAATATAAGTATGATGAGTTGCTAATCTCAATATGAGAGTATTTTCAGATATTTCAAATTTTTAATGGTTTTGGAATGCTGGTATTGTGGTACTACTAAACTTACCATGCTAAATGCAACTTGTTACTGTCCAGAGTGCGAAATTTACTTTCGTATCGAAAATAACGAACTTTCACCGATTTTCATCGAAAATAAGCTTATCTATCGCCAGCCGATCAAACTAGAGGAAAAGAAGATTCTTTGTGCATTGTGTGAAGAAAGAGGAGAGCGTGAGTATCTTCAGAGACGAGCTGAGGCCGATTTAAAGATAGATATCACTGGTAATGAAAAAACAAAAACAAAAGAGCCTGATAATTTGTGTCTAACTTGTATTGAAAAAGTCAACGAGGTTCTTAAGCAAGAAGAAAGGAAACTTTATCGGCCATACCGCCTACACTTACTTAAGAAAGGTTTAGAGACTGTTTTGAGCTTTGGGGTGGTTTTGGGACTTTCTTTCGGTTTACAATCAAAACTTCTTGATATCTTGAGTTTAGGATGGCTACAAAGATCGGCTAATAAGAATAGATTGGGCGGTTGGTGGAAGTACTTCTTATTACTGTTGGTCTTTCCTCTGCCTGTCTACTTCTATCTGCACTGGGCTGGACTATTCTATTCCGCCCTCAAACAATGCCGGCCTAAACGAACGACTTATCTTAAACCACCGGCTGGTATAGTCCGGGTGGAGAACAAAGTCCTTTCTGGGTTCCAACAAATCAAAATCAGCCAAACCCCGCCGCTTGCACCCGTCTCACCCAAACCGCCAGCCCCGCCTTTGCTTCCCGTAATTACACCGAGTGAGGCCAAGATCGATGCGGAGCTAGACCAACTCTGTCACAAACTATCAACCCTAAAGATCAAATTGCCCTGGTATCGAGTTCAGTTCAACCGTCTCATGCACTGGGCTATCAATTAGATGCAGCATCATGCTTGCCAATAATCAATATATATTGTGTATTAGATCTGTTTTTAATGTGTTTTTGATTTGTAATAGGCTAATGTTAGTATTAGTATTGGGTTAGATTTGTATTATATTTGTATTAGAAAAACATATTACTGCTATCTCTTATTTATCTTCATCACTAACTCAATACTAACCCAACCCAACCCGAATACCAACCCAATCTCAACCGATTGATCAGATTCCTGGCATTGCGACATCATCCAAAACCGACTTAAAACACACCTATATAAGAGGTCAGGCCGTCCCGTATATGGTAAATCGACCTATCTTTCTTGGAATATCAACGGGTGTCTCCCCAGAGAAGAACTCACTTGAACTTAGCATAACTATTAACGACGGTTTCTTTGTTCTAGGCACCAAAAACTATACCTTCCCGATCGTTTCGGCAGATGAGGAGAGTGGAAGTCCTTCACCGGGCGTTTCGCCGCAAATGACACTTAATGACGACGACGGTGCCTTAGGTGATTGCGATTTTGAAGAGATCAAAGGCATGTACATCGACCTTAAAAAGCGAGTTGTGGTCCAGCAAGCCCAAAACCTCGCTTTGGCCCAAAACAACAAAACCATCAACCTTGGCACAAAGGCTAAACTCGACTGCCAAGCCGGAGTTGGCCCTTGTGGTACGGATGCATGTCGAGCCGATTACAAGTTCTTTTCTAAACTCCCCAAAGCGATCTTTGAGGAAACTCTAAAAGACGAGCCCGTTAACTCTCCAGAAATCATTACTTTCGACTACTTTAGTATTGAAGTACTCGAAACCTTCTCCAATGTCTTGTTGGTCGTTTTGGACAAATGGATTGGTGAGTACTCTCGTGGTAATGCCATCAAAATCGTTGGCGCGGGTATCTCCACCCAAACTCTTCTTCTGGCCAACTTCTCAGAGCAATTCAAATTCATGTTGTGGACCAAGTACGACATTCATCCTGTCTTCTTTTCCGGAGGTACTCGGCCACTCGACCAACAGTCTGAATCTCTAGCCCGTAAGTGCGCTAGTCTTTTTGGTCAGGAAAACCTTCCCCGACTTTCCATTGTGGAAAACAACCGCGTTAACATTGACGTTGGTAATATTTGGTTTTGCTCTCTTAATGACTACATACCCTTACTTGGTCCCAAAGGTGCTGAATTTATGTCACAACTAATCTCCAATGCCAATGCGATTGCTAACGAGCGCATTTCCTTTTTCAGCTCAACCGCTCAAGGTGGCGGAGTAGCCTTAATGCGGCATGCTTTGTTACGGGTCTTTTCTATGCTTGGTGTTAATGCTTCTTGGTACGTTTGTGTGCCAAGTCCTATCGTCTTCCGCATCACCAAGAAGAAGATTCACAACATTCTCCAAGGAGTAGCTTCGCCCGAGCTTACTCTTGACTCTAATGACAAGGCCAAAGTTGATAAGTGGCTTAAGAACAACTATGAATCTAACTGGAAACAAGTTATCAAAAACAGCACATTTATTGTTCTTGACGACCAACAGGTAGCCCGTCTTGTTCCTCTTATCCGCAAAGACAATCCCACCATCAAAATAGCCTACCGCTCACACATTCAAATCCGTGGTGAGTGCATCAAAGACAATCCTCAACTTACCAATACTTGGAACTTCCTCTGGGACGCCCTCAAAGATGTCGACTACTTCATAGCCCATCCCATTGAAACCTCCGTACCTCTAGATGTACCCCAAGAAAAGGTCTTATTCCAACCAGCCGGCACCGATCCTCTGGACAGTTTAAACAAACCTCTTTCCCATGCCACAGACGTCTACTACCAAAATGTCTTCAATCGAATCTGCATTGATAATGGCGAATCCCCCGTCAATTTCAACCATCCATACATTGTCCAAGTCGCTCGCTTCGACCCATCCAAAGGCATTCCCGACCTTCTTGATGCCTACTACAAACTGTACCAACTCTATAACCAACAGAAGCCCAAGGAAACTTTCAACATTGGATTAGTTATTTGCGGCCACGGCAGTGTCGATGACCCCGAAGGCAGTCAAATCTTCAAACAAGTCTCCGATATCATTGAATCCGAACAATTCCATGTTCTCAAACTCCTAATCACCAAAATCCGACTACCACCCTCCGACCAACTACTCAACGTCATTCTCCGCAACGCCACTGTCTGTTGTCAACTCAGTCTCTGTGAAGGCTACGAAGTCAAAGTAACTGAAGCCCTTCTCAAGCAAGTTCCAGTCATTGCCTACAATGTCGGCGGTCTCCCCCACCAAATCCGCAACGGCGTCAATGGGTACATCGTTGACAAGCACAATTCCGACCAAGTAGCCCAACACCTCTACAACCTACTCTACAACAAAGAAGAGCACCAGAAAATCCGCAACGGCATTAATGCCAAAGACTTCTCCTACATCACCACACCCTTCCAAGCCTTTTTCTGGATCCACCTTATCCAACTCGCCAAAACCAACCAGACCTCCAAAACCCAGTACATCTACCAAGAACTCATCAAAAAGTACCTCGAATAATCCACTCCTACCCCATCCCACCTAATCTCACCCCATTCCTACCCCACTTCACTTCACCCCACCCCATCCCAAACTTATCTCAAATCTCAATCTAATCTCAATTTAATAAAATCTCTAAAACCCCAACACTATTCCAAAACTGAACTACTTTCTTTCTTTTTAACATTACCAATCTCAAATCAAATACTATACTAATACTAATCTTAAATCAATTTATTCAAAGACATAAACATACCATCTAAAGATAAGACATAAACATACCATCTAAAGATAAGATCTAATCACAACTATCTAAACATACTATCTAACCCAATACTAATCAGACCATCGCAATTTAAAAGAAGAACCCTAAACCATCAGAACTACGGTAAACTGTACACCCATTCTTCAGGCCAGCCGTATGTAAGACTTCACGAGCCCGAGTAGTCACTACTTCTACTCCCGAATTCTCTAAAGCCTCCAAGACTTGCAAAGCCCGAGCCGGGTACTGCTCACTTATATATACCAAGTACTCTTCACTTAACAATCCAGCCATTGCTCGTGGACAAGTACGACATCCATCTTCCACCAACCATAACAACTCCAAGGATTCCTTACAAGCCGTAAAGAACCCACGCATTTCCCCCAAGACACTTTCATCCGAAATAAACATCCTAGTCCCCGTCCGAGCCAAAACCTTCACTACTTCTTTCACATACTTACATCCATCCGGAAATATATGTCCTTTAAACAAGTAAGGCAACAACTCAGCCACAATTTCCGGTCGATCAGCCAAGTACAAGCAAGTTTTAACCAACTCCTTCCCACCCCCATTTACCCAACCAAGTTCCCGCAAGACTTCATCCTTATGATAAATAGCATCAAACTCCCGTTTAAAGAACCGCCCAAACCCCTTCAACCTACTAACCGATAAGTCCTTCAAACTCAACCGCACCGGCTCCTTCATCTCCTCNCTCAACCCCACCACTCACATTATCATCACTATTAATATCACCATTATCATTACTCACTTTACCATTATTAATATCACCAGTAGTACATACATTACTACCATTACTTACGTTATTACTTACGTTATTACTTACGTTATTACTTACGTTATTACTATTACTTACGTTATTACTTACGTTATTACTTAAGATATTACTTACGTTATTACTATTACTATTATCAATACTTAAACCATTACTTACGTTATTACTTAAACCATTAACATTACTATTATCAATACTATTACTATTACTACTAACACCACCCAAACCATTACTTACGTTATTACTCAAACCATTACTACTTAAGACATTACCCAAACTATTACATAAACTACTTTTAGACCTTTTCCTACTAAGTTGACCATTAGCAGCTGCTAATTGTACTTGCCAAGCCCCAATTTCAGCTTGTAGTTTTCTGACTTCTCTTTTCAATCTTTCTTCTCTTACTCCTTGAGATAGTGCTATCTCTTCCCTACGTCTATTCTCTTTTATTTCCATCACCTGTCTTTGTTCCATCCGTCTCTCAAGTACTCCTAACTTTCCTTCTAGATAAACAACTTTATCTTCAGCTGACATTTCATTATAATCAGTAACTAGAGGAGACATCTTCCTTTTTTTTTACTCCCTGTAAAATGAGAGTTACTATTCCAATTCCGACTGATTATGCAAAGTTAATGATTGCTTCAACTTGCCATTTAGGAGGCCAAAGTTTAACACATAAAATGTCTGAATATGCTTATAGCAGAAGATCAGATAAAGTTTGGGTCTTTGATTTACAGAAGACTTGGGATAAGTTAGTTTTAGCCGCTCAGATTATAGTTAGTTATAAGAACAGAGGAGATATCGTAGTAGTTAGTAGTAAAAAGTTTGGACATAAACCGGCTACTATGTTTGCCAGAGCTATTGGTGCTACGCCTGTAACGGGTAATTTTGTACCTGGTACGTTTACTAATCGGTCTACTAAGGCTATTACTGAGCCTCGTTTGATTATTACTACTGATCCGTTTACTGATAAGCAGACTATTTGTGAAGCATCTTACATTAATGTGCCTTGCATTTCCTTGGCTAATACTGATAATCAGATAGAACTTATTGATTGTGTTATTCCTTGTAACAACAGATCACCTCCGGCGATTGGAGCGATGTTCTTTATTTTAGGGCAGTTAGTGCGGTATATGGAAGGAAGTGTGGAGTTAAGTGATGAGATTAGGTTGAAGGCTGATGCTTATTTCTACCGGGATCCATCGGAGATAGAGAGTGCTTTGGCTGAGGCTGAGAAAGTGCAGGAGGAAGAGAATGATTCTGGGTACGAAGAAGAGGAGGAGGAGACTAAGTGGGAAGAGGCTCCAGAAGGAGATGAGGAGGACTGGGCTGGTAAGTAGGTCAGTGCTTAATAAATAATCACCAGGTTATGATCTTAAAGTTAAATTGAGTTTTGTATTAAGATAAGATAGGTTTAGTTTGGTTTAGTTGGTGTTGGGTTTGGTTTAGTTGGGGTTGATATTGATATTGGGTTAAGATGGTATTGAGTTAAGTTGTATTAAGTTGTATTGAGTTAAGATAGTATTAAGTTGTATTAAGTTGTAGTGGGTTAAGATAGATATATGTAATGCTGTTATACAATCACTACTCTTTCCTTGGGTTAAATTACTTATTGATTGATTGATTGCATACGTATTGGGTTAGTAGAGGATTCAAATCACATCAAATACTAACCAGTAGTAGTCGGATTGGGCTAGTATTTGGGTTAATATGATGTTATATTGTTGTCTACACTCAATACTAATCCGATTATGTCGTATTGAGGTATGTCACTGATGGGATTTGTATTGGGTATAGGAACTATTCCTTATTAGGCACTAGCTTAGGAAGCAAAGTGTTATGGTATACTTAGATGGTATAGGTAGATAAGGTGGTAGGGTGGTATCTAGTCCTTTGGTTGGGGTTTGAAAGTAGTATGTAAACTTTATTGGGTTAGTATTGAGTTGGTATTGGATTGAGTTGGTATTGAGTTGGTATTTGAGTTATTCTGGTGGTGAATAGGAGGTGTGCTGAATGTATATAGTATGGGATGGCTTGTCTTGGCATTCTATAGCATAGGACTAAGTTGGTCTAAAACGTAAATGGGGTTAAGCTCAAAGTAATTCTAGTTTATTACACCAAATAACAATCCAATGTTTTTAATTTAGATAAGAACTAATCATACCATAAACGAACTAAATCCGAATACAAACACAAACAATATTCTTCTATAAAAGGACAGAGACAACTCTATATATAGAAGAACG